GGAAAAGGCTAAACAGGTCGGGACTCTAACTCTCTGGAGTTTAGGAGGATGAGAGGCGATCCCATTGAAACATATCGACAGGGTCAATGCTGAGAGGGTGTTCCCCCTCATGGGAAAGTCTAGGACCAGAGGGCACAGCCTCAGAATAAAGTGGGCACCAACTGAAGACTGAGATGGGGAGGAATTTCTTCTCTTGAGGGGTGTTGGGAGTCTTTGGGATCCTCACCACAGAGACCTGTGTGGGCGGGGGGCAGAGTCGTTGTGTATATTTAAGGCTGAGATCAATAGGTTCTTGATCAGTCGGGGAGTCGGGGGGGGAGAAAGGGGCGGGAAAGCGGACGTGAGGAATGTGGGATCACATCATTGTGTCACATACCAGCCAACTGAGCTAAGCAACCTCCAGTGACAGTGGACATTGATATCACACCTATAATGTAATCCCAAAGCTGTTTACAAGGGGGGATGGTGGAAAATGGAGTTTGACGCTGGACAAAATTGGAGGCGTTCGGTCAAACGGACAAAACGCTCAGTCGAAGAGTAAGGTTTTGAGGAGCATCTTGGGAGCCATAGGGGACACAGAGGGACGAGGAGATTTTTAGGAGTGTCTATCTGAGCTTAGGCCTCGGGCCTATCTTGTCACACACCCGCCAAACCATTTCCAATTGCGGGTGAAGAACAGACCAGAACGGAGAGGCTTGTGGGCTGGACAAAACTGGGAGGGACACGGGAAGAGGAGAGGGAGAGATTTGTAAATGGGAGGGGACAGGATTTTAAAACAAAGATGTTGCTTCCTTGGGCATCGACGTAGATTGGGCGACAGAAAAGTACGACGAACCCAAAGCGCAGAATGGGAAAGACCAACACCGTTCAAACCGTGGACCTTTATAGACTGGAAAATGCCCTGAGAACTGCACTAAAGAGAAAGAGATTCGATACTCAATAATTTTATCCATCCCAACAAAGGAGCCAGTCTGCTAAGAACAGTGATGAAGCAGACATAATTTATGGCCTTTAAGACCCCAATCGCTTCCAAGTTGGTCAAAAACAACCGGCTAACTATTCGAATCCCATTTCCCAGCCTCGCCATTGCAATTGCCATCTAATCACCCCCTTCCTGAAGGTTAGGACTCAAGGGATGGGGAGTTTTAGGCCATCTCATTCATTTTCATATTCTCTCCTCCCAACTCCCCTCCCCTGCCCGGCAACTGCTCCCTTCCCTTCCCCTCCTCCTCATTTGGTTTCATTTACACAGGAGCGAGGAGCTATGCAGCAGGGAAACAGACCCTTAGGCCCAACTCGCCCATGCTGACCAGATTAATCTAGTTCCATTTGCTAGCATTTGGCCCATATCCCTCTAAATATTGTTTCAGAGGTAGTAGGAACTGCAGATGCTGGAGAATCTAAAAACATTTCTGAAGAAGGGTCTAGGTCCGAAACGTCTGCCTTCCTGCTCCTCTGATGCTGCTTGGCCTGCTGTTTTCATCCAGCTCTACACCTTGTTATCTCCCTCTAAATATTTGCTACTCATGTACCATCCAGATGCCTTTTAAATGTTGTCATTGTACCAGCCTCCACCACTTCCTCTGGCAGCTCGTTCCATACACGCACCACCCTCTGCGTGAAAAAGTTGCCCCTCAGGTCCCTTTTAAATCTTTCCCCTCTCACCTTAAACCTATGCCCCTCTAGTTTTGGACTCCCCTACCCTGGGGAAAAGACCTTGGCTATTCACCTTATCCATGCCCCTCATGACTTTATAAACCTCTATAAGGTCACCCTTCAGCCTCCGACGCTCCAGGGAAAACAGCCCCAGGTTATTCAGCCTCTCCCTGTAGCTCAAACCCTCCAACCCAGCAACACCCTTGTAAATCATCTCTGAACCCTTTCACGTTTCACAACATCTTTCCTATAGCAGAATTGCTCACAGTATTCCAAAAGTGGCCCTAACCAATGTCCTGTACAGCCACAACATGACCCTCCCAACTCCTATACTCAATGCACTGACCAATAAAGGCAAGCGTACCAAACACCTTCTTCACCGCCCTGTCTACTGCAACTCCACTTTCAAGGAACTATGAACCCGCATCCCAAGGTCTCATTGTTCAACAACACTCCCCAGGACCTTACCATTAAGTGTATAAGTCCTGCCTTGATTTGCCTTTCCAAAATGCAACACCTCACATTTACCTAAATTAGAAACTGCATCCATCTTGAAGTCAGCAGAGTTACGTTGAGAGACATTGACATACTCTGCAAAGTGAATGAGCTGCAAGTAATCAGGAAGTTAGCTGCTGTTTCCTGTGCTCAGCCCCACATACACACTCTCTCTCTCTTTCTCACACACACACAGACACAGACAGATTCTCTCTATCATACACACACACATTCACAGACACACTCACTCTCTCACACACACACGAGGGTGTGCCCTACAACTTGTCATACCGCCACTTTTTGAGAGAGCTGGGCTTTGCAGCTAAACGGCGGCGATTCCAGACCATCTTCCTTCTCTATCGGATCTGGAGAGCCCTTGATGCCGTCTCTTTTAATGAGTGACCCGGTGAATTTGCCGCTGGTTTCACAATCTCTGGTCGTTGGCCACACATCCAGCTCAGAGATGGAGAAGACACGCCACTGTTTGGGGCCCCTTCCTCCTGACTAAACAATGCCAACCTTTCGGTGCCAAGGGCCAGCAATGTTGTGCTCTCAAACAGCGCACCTTACAAACAGGACGAGTTCAAACACAACAAGATCTGGGCAATTTCCAGGCTTCGAAAGTAGTACAGCACAGCACAGGAACAGGCCCTTAGAGCCACAATGTTGTGCTGAACATGACACCAAATTACACTAATCCTTTCTGCCTGCCCTTGGTCCATGTCCCTCTATTTCTTGCCTATTCATGTGTTCATCTAAAAGCCCCTTAAATGCCCCTATCGTATCTGCCTCCAACACCACCCCTGGCAACGCATTCCAGACTCCTACCACTCTCTGTGTAAAAAAACCCTCACATCTCCTTCGAACTTTCCCCCTCTCACCTTAAATGCATGCCCTCCAGTTTTAGATGTTTCAACTCTGATGAAAAAGATTCTGACCGTCAACCCTATCTACACATCTCATTATTTTATAGACTTCTATCAAGTCTCCCCTCAGCCTCCCCCGCTCCAGAGGAAACAACCTGAGTTGTTCTAGCCTCTCCTTATAGCTGATACCCTCTAATCCAGACAACACCCTGGCAAACCTCTTCTGCACCCTCTCCAAAGCCTCCACATCCTTCCTGTAATGCGGCGACCAGAACTGAACACAAGACTCTTAAGTGCGGCCTAACCAAAGTTTTATGAAGCTCCAACATGACTTCCTGAATCTCGTACACAATTCCCCGACCAATAAAGGCAATGCACTTTCTTTACCATCCTATCAAATTGGATGGCCAGGCCTTGGGCTGACAACTGGCAAGTAACAATCGGTGCCAACACAAAATGCCAGGCATTTTGATCATCCCCAACGGGAGAGAATCTAACCATCACACCCCTTGACATTCAATGGTGTTCCCATCACTGAATCCTACCCCATCACTGAATCCTCCCATTATCAACATCCTGGGGGCTACCAATGACCACAAACTGAACAGGACCAGCCCCATATAAATTAGGGACGGGCAATAAATGCTGGATCCATCCAGTGACACCCATATTTCACGAAGACCACAATTAGATTTCCTCTCCTTTCTTGCAAACTCCTAAGGGTGTAGGCCTAATCCTGCTCAA